GAAGGCGTATACAACCCCTTTAAGATCATGCAAGACATCGGTAGGGAAAGAATGCGCAAGGAAAAAGCAGGAGTGCAATTTCCTGTGCTGTTCAAGCCCTTTGGCTTTCCGTTCAGGCGCTTCGGCTTTGCATTTTGGTCAATAGAGAGAATGACTGCGTCTGGACTCATGCCCCCGCTTCCTAGGAGTAGTTATTATGAAGCTCGAGTGCACCGGTACTGGTATGCGTGGCTAAGTATACTCAGCTCCGACGAAATCGCGAAGATTAATGAGGTGTGTAAGGAGAGGTGGGGGTAGGCTATTCGTTCCATTATGTATGGGGTCTCGTCTCACAGGACAAAAAGGGGGGATGCTTGGGAACACCGAAACCGCCACCATGCCAATGCTGGGGTTTCAACTTTAGGCATTCTTCCTGGAACATAAATTTTGCACAGGGAGATCACAAAACGTCATCTCAGCAAAGAGAGGGACTTTACGATGCGAATGTTAACTGGTCCACTTCCTGGGTCAATCGAAAGTAGCCATGCGGTAAGTCTAGCCACACTGATAGACGGGCGTCTCCGTGTGCCAATAAGCATACAGATTTTTGTTCCCTTTCCGGTCAATCTTGGTTTGCCTCCGCTTCTCCTCCTTCTGCACCTTTTCCGTCTGCCGGAGCTGCGTCGCTAGTATTGCGCGCTGCTGTGATGTGGGGAGATGTATCAAGCTGTTCCGGTCGTTTGCGCTCATGTTCGCCAGCTGATGTGCTATCGTGGCCCTTTCTCGCTTCTCCCGTTTTGTCAATGCTTGTGAATTGGGTAGACCTGTGTTAGGCTCCTCGTTGCTAGACGCTTGCTCGAGCTTCTCTTTAGATTCTACCACGGTGGTATATTCTAGTTGTGAAGCCGTGGGACTGGTTCGACGCCGTAGCCGACTGATTGACGGCCCCGCTTGTGCTGGTGACGACTGCCGCGATATAATCTTGCCTGACGGTAGACGAATTGAGTGTTGGTCAGCAAGCACTGGTTTTCGATTCGAACTTGCCACCGTTTCCTCCTGATTCCTCCCGTTGCCATCGCTTTCGTCGTCACTTTGCTCGTCGTCCTCCGCTTCATGATCGAAGTCGTAAAACTCTGCGAATTCCGAGTCCTCTTCTGCTACGTCAAATCTGCAGTGGCCCTTGCCGGTCATGTGCTGCTGTACCGCCTGCACGGTTGCCCTCTCTGTCCCACACTGTATGCATTCTCGGTAGCTGAAAATGACGAGGTGCAGATACCTGAAGAGGGTCTCGAGATCGACCACGAGGTGTCGCTGGTATGGCACGAACAGGCCATGTGATTTTTGCATGTGCATCACACTCTCGGAGAAGCTTGGTAATGAGGTGGGGCAGAATAGACATTGCCCTGCTGTGAATTGCGGCATGGTCGTGGCGGGGGAGTCGCTTGACTCCTGAGGGAAGGATGTGGGTGTTATTGCTTGTTGGCTTGATGATAGATTCATTGGTATAGTTGTGGTTGTTACTGCTGTCGTTGTTGTTGCCGTCACCATATATACGGATTCGATTGAGAGCGGTTGCGGTTGTGTTTGATGCGATCGATGAGCTCGAGTCTTGCGTTCTTGCTCGGGTGCTGATGCTTGTATCAGAATGGTTGTATTGAATTCGGACAGTGTGAGATTGAATGATCGATAGTATTGATGTTTATCTTATATATGGAGTTGCTGGATGAGCATGGGAATGGCAGCTCATCTAGTTGGTCATTGAGGAGGCACCAAGCACCTCCAGCTGACGGCTCTCCAAATCCGGCCTCGTGATTGGCAATTGCGAGCCTCAGAGTTTCGGCAGACGGAAGGTGCGATGGGGGTTGTGACTGGGGAGATTGGCTGGCTAGTGAGTCAGAACCCCACTGAAACTAAACCTTCCAGGGGATACGCCACACTGCGTCGCCTCTAGAATCTTACGCTCCAGCCAATAAGCTGCTCATGAATTCACTAATGAGCTATGAATCATAATGAGTACAAACAAAGTGAAACATTCGAATGGCATCTCGATCAGAGAATGCGCTCGAGAGCCGCAGCTTTCGCTCGTTACCCCGAAAATCTGTGACATGCGCAACCTAGTATCCATCATCTAGCCATCATCTAGCCCTGCCTGACCTGCATCAGAACCTGCATTAGACAAGACTGTGTAAGTTTCACCGGAAAGTTGAAGTCTCGAACGGCGACAATTTTCAAGGCCCCGAAGCTCTCGACATGAGTGCCGCAGGGGAGGGGGCATCTCCAATCTCCAAGATTCGGTGGCTCCTGATCTCAATATCTTATATCTGCCACCCTAGTCCCCAATCTACACAGTCTAAGGTGGCTCAGATATAATGACCCCTGAAACATAACATGCGGCGCATTGTTTCTCTCTCTTTACTTTTGCTTGGAACGCAAGATGGTGCGAACATGGAAATATCATAAACAGAGAATACCCAAGTATAGAGGTGTCAAAGCAAGTCGTAGCAGCCTATGTAGCCCTTCCCCTATTCTCTATCATCCACATCTCCCTGAATCTTGAACCTTCCATCTGGACAAGCTGTTGTGGGTCCCCCGTCTGTACAAGCCTCCCCTGGTTCATCACGATGACAGTATCAAACGCCATGATCATACCAAGATGGTGACTGATCATCACCACTGTACACGCTTCGAACTGCTCCCTGATGACCTTCTGCATCGACAATTCCGTATCTTGATCCATGCTGGAGCCGAACTCGTCCTGGGGCAAGATCCCTTCGGCACAATTCAAAATTGTCTCGCCTACGGGGGCCTCTCAGGCCCGCACTTGAGCTCGATGTCGCAGGCTCGCTCGTGCGAGGCTAAAGAACTGCTTCTGTCCTTGAGATAGGCTATCAGCGGCCAGAGAACGGGAAACGCCGCCTCGTTCTTCAACGAGAGTTCTAAGATTCACGAGCTCCAGCACAGAAAGGCACTGTGCCTCTGTTGATTCGCCCTGGGGATCGAGATTCTCCCGGATGGATGTGCCATCCGGCAGAAAGATAGGACCCTGGGGCACCGCGATGATAAGCTGCCGAAGTGTCGAGCGGTGGATTTGATAGAGAGGTATGTCGTCGATGGTAATGCTCTCCTCGCAGGATGGCACAGGATCCAACAATTGCAGAAGAAAGAGAAGGATGGAGGACTTCACGCAATACAGAAACACATTCAATTAGCCAAAAGTGCTTATCCAGGGGATTAGAGGTCAGAGAAAGAGATCTCACCTGCCAGGGCGACCGCAAATCGCAACTTTCTCGCCGGGCGCTATTCCTATATCCACATCTGTGAAAACGAGATGCTGAGGAGTTTCGGTTTCTCTGCCCGAATGATTAACATTCTTGTAACTCCACGAAACAAGCCGACAGTCATACTCATATGATGCCGAAATGCCTCTGATATTAATCCTGCCTTTCATTGGCCACTCTAGGGGCGGCTGCACTTCCTCTCCAGGGATGTTTTCAGGCTTTACAGACTCGCTGAATGTTTTGATACGGCTCACGGCCCCAATAGAAAGTCTCGACAACAGTGTATGAGCGAATGAGAAATGACAGAGAGTGGCCAAATGTCATAAGCGTCACCAAAGGCGTCAGCAAAAATGCTGTTGGAGCGTATTTGTGTCGCCAGAGCGACTACCGCAGTTGCCAGTGCCGCCACGACGACTTGCAGTACAAACTGAAGCCAGCACTGTATCATCGCCAGCAGATAGGCAGGTCGTCGTGAGCGGTTCAAGAGTCTGTCTTTAAGGGCGGCAACCTCCTTGACCCAGCCAAAAGCACGGTTCGTGGCGACGCCATTGAGTTTGTCGATAAAATGCGAACTATGCATCGTGAAGAGTGTGCGATGAGATGAGATACACTGAAAGTTACTAGAGGGGACTCTTGGCTTCGAGATCCAAGAGTCGTAACTGACGTGATGTACGAAGGTAGAACTTTTGTATTCCATACGGCGTATTGTCTAGTGGAGCAGGGTATTCTATCCTCCAAGTCATCTTGATTTGGTGGCAAAGGAGGGTATAGACAGGCTACCCGGAGCACACAATCGCAGATGATTACTTGAGTGTTTGTATCACAGCCAACACCTCAGAGACTTAGCCAGTAGGTACGTCAGACTGGGAATACACTGGATAGACATTGAGAAATCAGCATTAAATCGAAGCTAGTATAGTACTCTTCCCTACGTGCCACCTAGGCTAGCACAACTTCAGCCATCCTTAGACTTCGGACGGCCACTTTCAAGGGTCTAGGCAGCAGCTCTATATAACCTACGCTTCAATCACTCAAATTTGATGGCTTTAGTCGCGTCTGCTATCTCTCTTAGAAGAGTCTCTGATTCAATAAATCTAACATTCTATAAGAGCTGGCTACAGTATTTGATTGCCATATACTGCTCTGATGCCCTCTATTGTCCGAAAGCCGTATCTATAGCTCCATTAAGAATCAGGAGCATAAAATATCCAGGGATTCCGATGAATCATCCGAAAATTAGCATGGGCTCTCACGAAACCTATATGGCCCTGCGGTATGGTGATTTTCGAGATACCAGAGCCGACAAATGATCCCCTTATTAGCGTCTGTGATGAGCCCGTGTCTATGTTGCAATATCGGGGGCAAGGCGACCGGAGTTAACGATACAGGTCTGGACTTTTTCAGAAGAACAAACTCGTCGAAGTGAGGCTAGGGTTTAGTGTCGTAGCGCTAATGCAAGTGGATGACAGTGGGTACATGCACAACACTACTAGTAGCATAGCACATACCAGAGCGAGGCCGAGCTGGGAGCCTGGTAATCCCCACCGGACCGGACCGATTTACGAAATGCTCCGGGGAGTTTCACACGTCAACACTATCTCCGGATAGTCATGCTTGAGGGAAAGAGCCGTTAATAGTATAATGTACCATTCCGGAATTAATTACGAACTAGAATTAACGCCTCTGACACACACACATGATCAGCATATTCCACCCCTAGGTACGTGGCATCGGCGTGACATTCTAGTGGCCAACCATGGCCTGATGCGCAGGCGCATATCGGTTGCCGATAGGCTTCGCGGCATCGATGATGGCCCTCAGCTCCTTCTGCTCCTGGTCGGTCAGATCGATATCCCGCGACGCCCAGTTCTGCTCCAGCCGCGGGGTCTTGGTAGTTCCGGGGATGGGAATCATGCCTTGGGCCGCGACCCAAGCGAGGGCGACCTGGGCCGTGGTGCAGCCCTTGCGCTTGGCTAGAGCCTGGATCTTCTCAACTATCGCCTTGTTCTTGAAGAAGTTCTCACCTTGGAACTTGGGAACTGTAGATCATCAGCGAAGGCTCGGCCCGGGGATCGACATGAGCCTTGAATCGACTTACCGCTGCGTCGGAAGTCGTTGGGCGCAAAGTCGTCGGGGGTCTTGTATGGGAAATCATCGACAAGCCAGCCATGGCCCAGTGGGCTGTAGGCGACGTAGGCAACCCCGAGCTCCTTGGCAGCCTCGATCAGACCGTCCGTCTCGTGCAGGGTCTCAAAAGCCGAGTACTCAGCCTGGAGAGCATCGATCTTGGCAACTGGGTCGGGGTCAGCAGCTGCGTGAGTATGTATGTGAGGCAGACCCAAGTCTGGCAAGGAGGGCTCACTAGAGTTGGCTTTGCGTAGTGTTGCGGCAGAACATTCGGAGAGGCCAATGTACTTAGTCTTGCCGGCCTTGCGAATCTCATCGAGGGCGGTAATGGACTCCTCCAGTGGAGTGTCTTTGCATGTATAGTCAGCGTGCATGCACATCCACGGCGTGGGAGAGAAACGCACGGGGATCTATCCTGTGGAGATAGTAGAGATCTGGGGTGAATCCAAGTCGCTCGATGGTGCCATCGATGTACTCCTTGATATGCTCTGGCTTGTTTGTGACTTTGCCGTCACCGCCATTTAAGCAGTCGAAGCCGCATTTTGAGGCAACTGTCTCAGCGTGAGCAAATATCACCCAGCAGTTTGTAACTGTGTAAGATGAACTCACTAAAGAGCTTGTCGCGCACATTGTGCTTGCGGATGAAGTCGCCGAGGAGCTTCTCGTTCACGCCGGCGCCGTAGACAACCTTGCAAGTCATCAGTGATATGAAAGAACCTCCTGGATGGTCCAAACACGATTCTACTCACAGCTGTATCCCAAAAGGTGCATCCCAACTCGATAGCCTTCAACAAGACGGGCTCTGCCTCCTCAAGGGTGACATTGGTTCCTAGGCCGTGGCTCATGCCCATAGCACCGAAGCCCGGGATAGGCACCGTGATGTCCTGGAATGGCAGTGTCTTAACCATGATTATGGATTGTTGGCAACTGGGGACTGTCGGGGAAGCTTTCGTCGTTGTCGTGCTGGAGGGAAGATTGGGAGTCTCAATTGATGCTCGGGGGGTTGTTCGTTGGCATGGAATCACGAGCGTATTGTATTATATATAGTTTGCAACTTCCTCCTGGCCTGTCCCCCTCCCTACTGGTCACGTCATGAAAGCCTTATCTCCGAGCAAGACTCTGAATGACTCTATACCGTCTTGAGTCAAGCACCCCACTAAGTTCAACGGCAATCGGCAGCGACAGCGATAGTACGACCGGCTTGGTGGAGATTTAGAGTAGGTGCATGTCGTTGGCCAACAGGGGTTAACATTGGTCCCCAGTTGATATCAGATCGAACTCAGGTTCACGGCGGATTTAAGCTTGCCATCCTTGCAACAAGGATCTGTTTCTTTAGTGACAACCGGCGACTGATAGGTTTACGGGATCCTGGACAATTAGACACGTCTCAGCATCCTTATAGATATACCATCTTTACAATACCTTAAGGTACGATATGTAGCTACTGTAGATAGGATGTGTAAAATAGTATCTTCTTATACTCCAAACTATAGTAGTAGATTGACCTAATATATCTCTAAGGTAACCCTATAAAGAAACACTAAGAGACCGTAACTATATAGACCTCACCTGCCTTCTCAAATGGTCTTCAGCGACTTCACTGTGTCTACAACACACTTCTCAAAGGGGATAAAGTCAATGCCCAAAATATTTTTGACCTGGCTATTGTCGACCTTGAATATGCCCCCCTCTGGGTAATCGCCACCCTTGTCGTCCGGATCCGGAAGGACATCCTTGTACTCTGGGAAATTCTTGTGCATAACTGCTGCTGTTTCCCGGTTCGAGAAAAAGCCCGACACGAAGAAGAAGCGCTTACCCCCAGCCTCGGGCTTTTCCATAGCTAGAACATGACCAAGAGCAAGATCTCGAACATCTGTCCAGATGAAAGCAGGTGACGGAGGAATCCCAGCCTTGCATTTTCCCTGGACAAACATGCCAATGAGCTGATTCGACGTGTTGAGAGTATCAAGGCTAGCGAGTTTGTGCTTGATCGGCCCAAACACCAGAGGGGGCGCCAGAGTTGCGATGGTGAAGTTCGGAGCTTCCTTGTCTACAAAGTCCCATGCTGCGCGTTCGGCAAATAGCTTGCTGGCTATAAGAATCTTCGTCAGCGCTCGGTTTGAACTCACACTTTTAATTAAGAATCAGTCCTTGAGAGCATACCTGTATATCCGAAGTAGGGATTGAGCACCGCTTGCTCCTGCGTCATAGGATTCCAGTCGGCCTCGGAGTAGGTGTGCTCAGGCCAATTACCCTTAGAAGGATCGACAATAGAAGCGAAGGAGGAGGTGATGACGACTCTCTTGACCGTCGGTGCGTATTTCTTGACGGACTTCAGGATTCCGGCTGTACCAACCACGGCGGGATCCAACAGCTCCTTTTGAATGTCTGTGACATTGTAATGGAATGGGCTGGCGGTGTGGATGACAGCTTCGAAAGGGGGATCGGATTGAACGGCTTGCTCAAAAGCGCCTTCCACGGCAATATCCTTGACAATGGCAAAGTCGAGCCTATCCTTGCTAAGGTCTGGGTATGTTGCTTTGATCTCGTCAATCTTGGCTTGGGAGCGGACGGTGGTGACGACAGAGTGGCTATGTCCGACGCTTAGGAATCTCTCGTTCAAATGGCTGGAAACTTTTGCCCAAACTTACCCGCGCTTCAAGAGAGTATCGAGGACATGGGTAGCGATGAAGCCGCTGCCACCAGTCAGTAGAACGCGAGTCATGGCGCAATATTTTTTCTGTTTCCAAGAACAAAAGATAAATAGAATCAATACAGCGGTCAAGATAGGTCAAGTTTGTCGGACCCTATGCGACTTGGGATCCAGCGCTTTATATAGCCGCGCATTCCTCAGGGTTGAGCATTGAGCATTGAGTATCGGCATCATCCCGCAGTGGCGGCCAGTGCAGCTAGTCAATACCGCATCATGACCCACCTCCGAATGCAGCGGGCAGCGGTGACTTCCGATTCCTGAAACGTCGAAATGTTCGTTAAAGGAGGAGGATGATTATTAAGAGCAGTCATTAACAATTCATTATTGACGTTGTAAAGTGCTGCCATCGCAGCATCAGGACGAGTCGGATATTGAACCCTCCTAAAGACAGGCGAATAAATAAATGTCTGTTGTGTTCTATGTTGGTGTTCTACGAATGTATTAAATCAGAGGCTCATGTTGTGGCATCCGGCTCCGACTGCCGGCTTCTGCCATGTAGGAATGATGCTAGCACTTAACCTTACTTAGCTGCTAAGCCTACTCAAGTTAGCCTGGAATATGCAACCAGCTTATCAGTCGGCCCTACCTACTATGCGGGGCGGGATCCGCTTTTGATGGATTTACACCTCCGCCAGGGTAATAAACGTTATTTTAGAGAGTTGAATATACCAGAAAACCAGGGTTGAGAATACCTGATTGAGTTTCGAAGCTTCTGTTTATT